CTTTAAATTAAAAAATTAATTTAATTGCCAAATGAGATTGCGACATTTGCGGACATGACAAATGCAACAGAAATATTTGTGGGAAGAATAGCAGGAAAAATATAAGGTTCTTATAATGAGGTGTCTCTTAAATAGAGTATCGCTTAGACAACTACTTAACCCAGTAGACACCCTAATTGTCTAGGTAATAGTCCAAATTTAGTTCTACTTTTAGTCCATATTTAATAATCCTAAAAGTACTAATTTGCCTAACAGTCTAACAGCAGTTGCGACATTTGCGGACATGACAAATGCAAACAAATCCAGGACGAAATCCTCTAGTATTGGGTATCTCAGTGAGATAATAGGGGTATAGTGAGGTACTGTCTCAGTGAGGTACTAGGTCCGACTTCTCCATGTAGGGAGGCCCGACCTCTCCACATATATTTTTAAACTAAAAACCTCCTCTCCACTCGTCTGTCTCAAACAAGCTTGCAATGTCCCCTCACGCAATTGAATACAACGTCCATCTTCTTTGTCAGTACAAGTACCTTTTAAACAATATTTAAAAAATAATCCCTTAAAAGAAACAACTAACAACTGCTAAAGGCTATTCCTTGTTGTGTTGACAATGTTGAATTTAAATATTTACGACACTTATCAGAACAATTTTGTATATCGTTGTTATTTTTGTTTGCTTCACATTCAGAAATGAATACCTCCCATTTTGAGTTGCACTGTAAATTGAGTTACAGTACACCCTCATTATAATATACCCCCAATATTAGATACATCTCATGACAGTTATGACAGTTACGAACAGGATGTTGCGATCTTTCAATTTTTATTAAAAACAAAAAAATAAATTTTAACCACAAAAATAAGAAAATATACAAATATTAAAAAATCCCTAAATATATTTCTTTAAATTAATTAAAAATCAAAGCAGTCAATAACGACAAAAACATTGACGGAATAACTAAAATCCATCCATTATATTTAAATGTAGATAAAGTTCCTGCAGGAACGTCACTCTGTGAATGTGAAGTAGAAATGATATTATTTGATTCAATTTCGTTTTCTGAGGAAGTTTCTTCTTCTTCTGGTTGTGTTGGAGTAATGTTTGGTCGAGGTAGAGGACCTTCCTTTAAATTAAATAAATTAATTTAATTGACAAATGAGATTGCGACATTTGTGGACATGACAAATGCAAAAGAATTTTTGCGTACAGAAATACGGGAAAAATATGAGGTTCTTATAATGAGGTGTCTCTTAAATAGAGTATCACTTAGGCAACTCGTCCCCCATCCAGTAGATAGCCTAATTTGTCTAGGTCTTAATTTAGTCCTAATTTAATAGTCCTAAAAGTACTAATTTGCCTAACAGTTTAACAGCGGTTGCGACATTTGCGGACATGACAAATGCAAACAAATCCAGGACGAAATCCTCTAGTATTGGGTATTTCAGTGAGATAATAGGGGCTATCCTATAATGACGTCCGACCTCTCCATATATTTTTTAAACTAGAAACCTCCTCTCCACTCGTTTGTCTCAAACAAGCTTGCAAGGTCCCCTCACGCAATTGAATACAACGCCCATCTTCTTTGTCGGTACAAGTACCTTTTAAACAATTTTTAAAAATAATCCTCTAAACGAAACAACTAACAACTGCTAAAAGCTATTCCTTGTTGTGTTGACAATGTTGAATTTAAATATTTACGACACTTATCAGAACAATTTTGTATATCGTTGTTATTTTTGTTTGCTTCACATTCAGAAATGAATACTTCCCATTTTGAGTTGCACTATTGAAGTAATTTAAAGTACAGTAAAACCCTCATTATAAGATACCCCCAATATTAGAACACCTGTTAGTCCATTTGTCTTGTTTTGTAGGGGTACCGTTTTGTCATAGTACCATTTTGTTGTGGGTACCGTTTTGTCGCGAAACGTTTTGTCGTGGGACTGTTTTGTCGAGTACCGTTTTGTCATGGGTACCGTTCTGTCGGGGTACCATTTTGTCGTAGGTATCATTTTGTCGCAAAACGTTTTGTCGTATGTATCGTTGAGTAGGGTGGGGTAACTGCTTAAGCGATACCCTCTATTTAACATACACCCCGTTATAAGGTACAACTTTTCAGCCCCAAGGTGTATCTTATAATGAGATTTTGACTATATTTAAATTTTAAATTACTTGTAAATCAATTTCACAAATTAATTTAGCCAACAAACAATGTTTTGGCAATTTATTTGGCAGAAATCCACACTTTTCTAGTTCATATCTGCCCGGAACACAACTAGCATCCGTTCTTAATAAATTTCTTCCTTCACGGTTTTGATAGAGATTTAAAGCTGCTTCTCGGCATTGGGGCTGGCAAGTGTTTGTTACACTACAAATTATGAAATGATTGAAGCTAGTTAAAATGTATAATGTATCGTCTGTCACGAGTTATTTTGTCGTGGGTACTGTTCTGTCCGGTGTACCATTTTGTCCTATGTACCGTTTTGTCAATGTACCATTTTGTCCCTTGGCGTTTTGTCCGAAGTCATTTTGTCGCATGTACCGTTTTGTCGCAAGAGTGTCGCAAGAGTATATTTTGGCATATTTTTCAACATTCAATGCATATGTCGAAATATGCACAAAAATTTTTCAGGCATATTTCCCAGCTCCTAAAGATAAAAAAATTCTGACCAAGCAGATTGCAATACAGCCAATCTGTGTACACAATCAGTTGAATTTTCACAATTTGTCGCAGCCTTTTTACACTCTTCTGATTGAAATGGTTGTGATTGTTGTTGTCCATTAATTAATTGAATAAATAAATAATTTAAATAAATAAATATTTTTGTTAAAAATTTGTTTTTTAATGGAGACATTTCTTTAAAAATATAAAATTTTAAACAAATCACTAGGCGTTTAGTCGCATGTACCGTTTTGTCAATTAATTTAATAAAATTTTTGAAAACAATATTTCGAAAGAGGATAAATTTAATTAAATAAAGTTGAACACTGAGTTAGCTAATATTTCATGAAAGGAGGTTTTAGGCGGTTGGGAGCGACCACCTAGTATCCTCAAATTGACGAGACTACCCATGCCGCCCCCTGCATAACTTTAATAATTAAAAGAGATTTTATCTTTTATTTTAAGGATCATGCCGCTTCAGAAAACTCAGGAATGGAAAAGTATATTGGGGAGATACAAGTTTATTCCCCTCAGAAATTCGTTTTTTTTAAAATTTATTTTTAAATTTATATTAAATAAACATTCCATAAAATAGATCGATTTTAATAAATTTTTTGAATGATTTTGGATTTAATCTTCTCTTCTTTCGTCAAAATAAATATTTTTATTAATCCTTTTTTGACAAAAAAATATTTTAAATTTTTTGTTTAAATTGTTTTTTTATTTATAGAGGGGAATAAGGGGATTATTATTGTTATAGAGTGTTGCTCTAAATTTCCTCACATTTTTAAAAAAATTTTTATTTTGAAATATTAAATAAATTTCTGAGGGGAAATAAAAATAAATATTTATTTAAAGCATTATTTAACCAAAAAAACTTTTTTTCTAAAAAATCTTTGACTGGCCTTTCCCTAAGCTTTCTATAATTGATGAAGATTAAAAAAGGGTGGTTGTTTCGTTGGAAATCTTTTTTTGTTGCGCGTTCAAACAAAATTGGCTAAAATCCTTGGGGTTTTTTGTAATTTTTGAATCTGCCTGGAAGGAAATTGAGGGAAATTGGTGGAGGAAAAAAGAGGAAAGAATTGGTGAGCCGCGACGATTGCTGGGTTGATCTACCTAAAAAGAATTCTTTTTTTTCTTTTCCAATTCAATTACTTGCTAAACTAGCCAATTCTTTTCTCTCCTTCGCCTAAAAATGACCGCGCAAATAAAACAAATATTTACAATGTCCAAGGACTGAGAGAAGGAAAAAAAGAAATCGGTCGGACCTCGTTATGAAATACACCCTTGAAAAATTGTCTCTTATAATGAGTGGTATGTTAAATAGAGGGTATATGACTTAGGAAGCTCAACAGCCTTTGAAAAACCAAGAGCGTCTCTTAAATAGACGTTATCTAATATTGGGGGTATCTTATAATGAGGTTTTCGATATGTGTATGTTAAATAGAGAGTTTCGCTTAGCCAGCTTCCTGACTCAGTGGGCAACCTAATTTTGAAGAGCGTATCCTAAATAGAGGTGTATCTAGTATTGGGTGTATTTTATAATGAGGTTCTGACTGACTTTATCCATTTAAAATCCAAATAGAAAAAAGTAAATGGATAAATTAAAAAAGAGAGGATTTTGCTTTTTCTCTTTTGTTTTACAATCCGGTTGTGGAGAAGCGCAGCTAAAAGAAAATAAAGATTTTGTGTTTGACTGACCGGTAAATGAAATGAAAACAAATAGAAAATGGCCAGTTGGTCTTTAACTAAAATTAAAATTGTTTACACAGCAAATGATGAAAAATGGGATTAATAGTAATTTTGAGGATTTTTTGGGGAGTTTTTTGTATTTTTAGATGGAGACAGACCTCTCTATAAGGCACCCCTTTGATCTCAATATAAGATACCCCAAAACATAAAATACTCTCAATATTGGATACACCTCTCAGTTTAGGGTAAGTTCTGTAAAAGTTTTTTGGCCTCTCGCTGTATGGGAGATCGATCTGGATCCGGATCCAGTCTGGATTTTTCGTGGATCGAAAGTCCAGATCCAGGCATTTCTTATCTTCCTGGATTTTTTCTGGATCCAGATCAAGAATCCTGTCCAATACTTATCTCTACACTGCATGGGAGAGCTGCCCTAAAGCGATACCCTCTATTTAATAAACACTTCATTATAAGAGACAAAATTTCAACCCAAAGGGTGTATCTTATAACGAAGTTTTACTATAACAAGAATAAATAAAAGTATTATATTCACCAAAAAATTTATTCACAAAACTGTTGTAGAGGAATGTAAAAATGAAAAACGCACGCAGCAACAAAATCACCACTACAAGGTCAATATATTGAAAATTATTCAGCATATTTTTTTAAAAATATTATTGACGAGGATATTAAAGGTATTTGGTTGTTGTCGATTGTCGGAAATTTGTACAAGGGAAGGATGACTAACTTAATCCTTTCAAAAAAAATTAGAAAAGTAGATCACGTTGTGTGGAAAAGAATAAAAAATAAAGTACAATCGGACACCTCGTTTATGAATACACCCTAGAGGTCGTAAGTTTGCACTCATAAAAGAGGTGTATTCACATATGGGGGTATAGCAGGGTAACCCTTTTACCCCCTTTAGGAGGCATTTTCCCCCTTTTTGACCAATTTCGCCCCCTCTATCCTTTCCCTTTTTTGAGAGGCCATGCCCCCTTTAGGTGATTTGGAAAGAGTCACCCTTTGGGTATAGGGTCACCTCAATGTCCCATCCAAGTTCATACATGTAGCTATTTAATTCCCTAAGGCTGTGCATGAGGTGGCATGATGTAATGGATAACACAACAGTCCGGTCCATTGGAGATGCTGGCAGAGTAACTCTTTGTTCTGGCTGAAGGAGGATATTATTTAAACAAATTATGAATCATTAAATATATTTAATTTGTTCTTTAATTACCGGAAATGAGTATAAAAAATAAAGAAAGGATACGTTACTTATTTATTACAATTTAAATTTATGGGAAGAAAAAAAATTAAAAATATCAAAGTCTGATCAAAATAATAAAAAAAAATTTTTTGTAATTAAAAATGTCATAAATCTATGTATAAAAATAGATTTTTGTTTAAAATAAATCTATATTTGGTTAATTAATTAATTTTATTTGTCTCTAAATATTTAATATAATCAATCATTTAATTTTTAAGATGTTCAAGACTGGCAAAATTTTTTAATTAAAGTTAGTCATTCAATCACGCCCTTCTCTTTTATTTTAATAAAAATATTTAAAAAGGGGCAAAGTTACTCGGTAGTTTTATTATTTAATTACATCATTTTTTTAATAAAATTTAAAAAATTCCAATCTCGATATGACGACACCCCTTCGTCTCTCAAGTATTGCTGAGATTGGAAGGAAAGCATATTGGGTCGAGAGTCCACTCAGTCTGAAATGCATCGAGTCCCGGCAACGAGGAACTGATGAGCCGTTGGAAAGGACGGTCCTGAGGTTGGGAGGGTCTTACTTATTGTGAGATTCAAAGCCCGGTGGATCTCACAAACACCTCTCAGAGTTCATTCACCCTCTTATCCTCCTTTCCTTTTCCAATCACCCCACATCAATTCTCTTTTTCCAATTTTATGAAGTATAACGAACGTGTTGTGTACGCCCTAGAGGGCTAAATTATACTCAAAAATCCATCTGTATCCGTCCGATTTTTAAAAAAACACTATCCATATTCGTCTGTATCCGGATATATACACGGGTATCCCTTGGCCGGTAAAATAAGCCACTACCATGGTTACCTACCCATCTTCTTATTTTACGGATGTAAAGTAGAAGGTCTCCTCACCCTCCAATAATGGCCAACCTTATTTTAAAGACCTGAAATGAATAATGTATTGGGGGTATTGGAGGTGCTATAACGAGGTTTCGACTGTATTTCTAAATAAAATATTATTTCTAAATTTTCTTAAAAATCGTCACAAAATTTTTAATCAATTTTTATTTTGTTTTTAAAATTTTCACATTTGACTGCGCATCATTCACAAACACAAAAAACCTTTCCTTATTTCTTCTCCCGTTTACCGTTAAACTCTCAAACAGAAAAATTTTTTTTTAATTTTTCCCCAAAAAAGGAACAACCACCAACTAAAAACTATCATTTACCGCGATCATCAATCAGTTAATTTTAAGAGAAAAAATGAACAGAAAAAAATCTTTCTTTCCGTTTAATCTTAAAATTAATTTAAAAAAATTTTTAATTAATTTTTACGTCTTCCCCTCCCCGCCTTCATTTTAACCAATTAATTCTAAATAGTCAAAATCTAAATTCAACGCCCCCACCAAACACAACTTTCCTTTTATTTTTTACCGACATTTTTTTTAATTTAAATAATAAATTTTAATTAGATACCCTATACATTTTCGAGAATTTTTTATTTTAAAAAATTTTTCTTCCCCTTTTTTTGATGGAGCGACATTTGCGAACACCTTTCTATTTTATTGTTTATATAAAGTACTGTAATGACAGGACAGTAGTCAGGATTTTTTTTCGGGGGGGGGGGGGGGGGGGGCAAGGGGGAAAAACCTACCCCCCTGGCTACGGGGGCCTGCGTAATGAGTCTGTACCGTGAAAATATTATGGTATGTAAAGGTGACCAAAATTGCCTTTTTCCTACTGTCCATTTGTCCTAATGGCGGTTTGTCCCAATTTCAATAGGGTTCGGTTTTGTCCGCAAATGTCGTTGTGTCTTTTTGTCCAAAGAAAATTTTTTTCCTATTTTTAATTATAAAAATTTATTTTTGTTCTCTCATCGTCGAACTCTCTTCAATTAAATTTTTATATCTAAAAAATCTTTTATTTTTCTATATAAGAAGACATGTAACCGAAACCATTTTCTCCCATTTTCTCTTTTATTTTTAAATTGCGCAACAACTATTAACCTTTTTTTCGATTTTTTATCAATAAAAATAATTTTTTAAAGAGAAAAAAAATTAAAATGTCAATTAATAATGAAGATGAAAATAATCCCCCAATGGCTAGCCGTACTCGGTTTTTGTTGCTTGTATTGGTTGTCTTGTGTTTAATGATTAATTGGGCTAATATTCTGACTTTTAATTTTACTGTGGTAAATTTTTAATTTTTAGTAAATAAAATCAGAAAAAAAATATCAGAAATTCTGACTTAATTAAACATTAAATAAATGGGGGTGGTGTTTTTTGTGGCGTTTTGTCGGTCGGCATTTTGGACATACTGTTATTTTTGACGGTTATTGTCTTAGTGATTTGTCGTTTGGTATTTTGTCTTTGGGCGTTATGTCCAGTCGGTGTTATGTCGGGAGTTTCTGACATTCTAGACAGACTATATTTTGTCCTCTGGTATTTTGGGCATTAGATGTTTTGTCCTATCGTCGTTTTGTCGTTAGGATTTATAGAGTGGTCTAATCCTCGAAAAGGATAAGGAAATTTATCTTCTCCTAATCATTCATGACATGATAATTTAATTTTAAATTTATAAAGATTTGCATGAGGCCAAGAGAACATGAGAATACTACAGAACACGATCACAATCAAATCAGCAATTTAACAACTAATTCTTTGTTGAATAAAACAATAGAAAATTCTGATGAAGCCTGGCTAACTAGAGAATTTACTAATTATGAAAAGGTAGTAAATTTAATTATGAACATAAACCTCATTGTAGGATACCCCCTTGGGGCTGAAAATTGTCTCCTATAATGAGGTGTCTCTTAAATAGAGGGTATCGTTTAGGAAGCTCTCCCCACCCAGGGCCAGACAGATTTAAAGGGTGTCTCTTAAATAGGGGTGTATCTAGTAGTGAGGGTATCTTATAGTGAGGGTATCTTATAAAGAAGGTGTCTTATACAGAGGTTTTACTCTATTCTTATTTAGAGCCAATCAATGGCCTTGGTAGCTATTGGAGCTTTAATTACAAATATTCCAATTGTTACACTTATTAATTGGTATGGACCTAGATATTTATTCACCGCTGTTGGATTCTTTGGTGCAGTTGCTACAGCTTTAATTCCTTATTGTATGAAAATGGGGTGGAATTGGTTTTTACTTGCCAGAGCTTTGCAAGGAATGGCTTTTGCTGGTGATATGGCAACCTTTGGACATTTTGTTACTTATTGGACTTATCATAAACAATATGCATTTTTTACTGCTACATTATGTAAATTTAACTATTCATAAAATTATCCAATTGTCCACTGGCCATTTGTCCCCTGTCCAAATGTCCGCTGTCATTTTGTCCATTGACCAATTGTCCACTGTCTATTTGTCATAGCCACAGCTAACTTGATCTGCTGGGATTTAACTAGCCTTTCCCTCATTATACTCTCTATTTAAGATACACCTCATTATAAGAGACTATGTTTTCAACCCCAGGGTGTATCTTATAAGGAGGTTTTTAATTAAAAATTAAAATTAATTATATTTTCAAGGTGTCTACGTCCAATTAGCCCCAGTATTCACCAACCCCGTCTCCGGAATCTTATGTGAATCTTCTTGGCGTTGGCCTGGCGTTTATTACTTCCATGCAATTGTTTCTGTTATTTTATTTTTGTGTTTCTACTTATTTTATCGAAACGATCCAAACAAGCACCCTTATGTTAATGAATTGGAAAAAAATAAAATTGCGAGGGGAAGGGATTCTCAAGATTCTCAAGCACAAAAATATGTTCCATATTTGTATGTTTATTTATTTTAAAAATTTAAAAATTCTTTTGTTTAAAGAGAAATTCTTCGTTCGCCTGCTGCTTGGGCAGTGTTTATTGGAGGGATTGGGAATTTTACTGGAATTAATCTTCTTTATCAGTTTACGCCTACTTATCTTTACAAGGTAGAAAAATGAATGTTTTACAGTAAAAAATAAAAATACGGTCGGACCTCTGTTTTATATACCTCTTGGGGGTAAAAATAGTCCCTTATATTGTGGTGTCTATTAGATAGAGGGTAACACTTGGGCAACATCCCCCACCCAATTATTAACAAAACTTTTAAAGAGCGTCTCTTAAATAGAGGTGTATCTAGTATTGGGAGTATCTAATAAGGAGGGTATTTTATATTAAGAGTATCTTATGAGGTCTTACTGTATTTTAATTAAACAAATTTCAGGTTCAAGGCTTCCAAGTAGTCAAAACAGGCTTTATGGCTGCCTTACCCCCTCTAGGCCAGGCCTGTATGAAAGAACTAGCCGGACTAATTAACGACAGAATCCCTCAAAGTTTAATGGGGGAAACAACAAAAACCAAAGTTTTCAATTCAATCGCTTTTTGTTCAATGGCTTTTATTCTCGTTATCGCTTCCTTTGTGCCTCCAGGGCATGGAAATTTGGCTTTGTTTCTTTTAACAGCCTCGGCTTTTTCGCTCGGATTTAATATTGGAGGGTTCTACAAAAGTGGTTCAATGATTGCTGGGCCATATTCTCCTTTCGTTATGGGGCAAATATCGACTGCAATGACTGTTACAATGTAAATAGGGCTAAACGACATTTGCGGACCCGCACTTGCGGACCGACACATGCGGACCGACTTTTGCGGATTCGCACTTGCGGACCGACTTTTGCGGACCGACTCTTGCGGACCGACACTTGCGGACCCGACATTTGCGGACCCGAAATGAAATAAAAAATAAAAAGAAATTAAAGAAATAAAACTTTAAAAAATTTAAAAGAAATTTATTTGAAAATGAAAATCAGAATCTCAAAAATGTGGAGAGCTTACAGTAAATTTACTAATGAACGAGAATTTTTAAAAATTATATCCAAAAATATTTTTTTTAATTTTTAAAGAGCTTCGGGTAGGATTTTAACCCACGTCAGATGAGGGTACAATTCTATTCCCTGCATAACAAACCAGAACTCTTTTGTAGAGTTACCCGCATTTTGGATAAGAGTTCTGATTGTGTGTCACTTTACCCGCAACTGAGGGTTGGTTACCCTTACCTCAATTTTAGAATATCGCCCCAGAATTCAAAAAATTTTCTCTTTAAAAAAAGCACAAGAGAATGGATAGGTTCAAAAGAAAAAAAATTGCTAAGATTGGCTCCGGATTTATAACTAAAACCGGTCTTTTATCATCTTTTTTAAAAATTCATTTCGGGTCCGCAAATGTCGGTCCGCAAGTGTCGGTCCGCAAAAGTCGGTCCGTAAGTGTCGGTCCGCAAGTGCGGGTCCGCAAGTGTCGGTCCGCAAGTGCGAATCCGCAAATGTCGGTCCGCAAGTGCGGGTCCGCAAATGTCGGCTAACCGTAAATAGATCCTCAAACTTCATTATAAGATACCCCCTTGGGGTTGAAAAATGTATCTTATAATGAGGTGAATCTTAAATAAAGTGTCGCTTAGGCAGCTCCCCTTCCTAGTGTCCAACCAAATTTTTAATGAGCGTCTTCTAAATAGAGGTTATCTAGTTTTGGGTCGTCAGACCTCGATATAAGATACCCCCAATACTAGATACACCTCTGTTTAAGAGACGCTCTATATAAGTTTGGTTAGCCACTGGCAGGAGAGCTGCCTACGCGTTACCCTCTATTTAAGATACACCTCATTATAAGTAACAATTTTCAACTCCAAGGGGGTATCTTATAGTTAGGTTTACCTGTATTTTAAATTTAAATTTATTTTTAGGCTAATGGTCCCCTTAATTGTCAACCCATTAACTCCAAACAATACTCGACAAGAATGGGCATTAGCATTTTATGTGCTTGGGGGTATAATGGTTTTGTGTAATATATTTTATTGTTTCTTTGCGAGTGCCGAATTACAGCCTTGGGCTACCCCCCAGGTAAAAAATTTGAAAAAAATTTTCAAAAAAATTTTTTTAAGCATTTCCGTGAACGCATGCGCATTAAAGGAATAAAAATGAAAGTGCATGCTAATGGAAATGAACAAACTAAATCTGAAATGCCATCAAATTTGCCTGTTATAGCTGCCTGATTTTTTTAATTTTCCAGTTGCAAAATTCTTCAATTTTATTCTTGAAGATAATTTTGATCAATTAGCCCTTTTTTTGGGTTTTCTAAATTAAATTTAAATTAGGGTAGCAAACTCCAGACCGACTGGACTTCAAGCCTAGAGACTGGATCGAGAAGAGATCTCAACCAAACATTTTGGTTATCGGAATCGAGATTTTTCATGATATCGATCTCTTTTTCTCTTCGATCCTCCCAGTTCAGTCCCCGAAGGGCGTGATATTGCTACCCTAATTTATCTAAGTCTTTTTATTTTTATTTATTTTTTTGCTCAACTATAAGTGAAAAATATGTACCTATTTTAAGATTTATTTTGCTTCTTAAAATTAAAATCTTTTTATTTATTAATTTTTCACTTTTTACAAAAAAATTTTTCTAGATAATTTTTTAGTTATTTATTTGATTTTTGAAATAAACACAGTTTAAATTATCCAATATTTCGAATAGTTGTAAAATCGTCATATTCATATAAATGTTTATTTTGAGCATAAAAAACTCGAGGATCTCGAGGGAATCCGCATCTTAAAACAAATTTGATTGTTGTGTTTATACATTCACCAGAACGCCAAATATACCTTTAAATATTTTATTTAAATTTTATTTTGTTAAAACCTCGTTATAAGTTAACCCCATAGGGACAGCTTCCCCCGCCCAATAGCCCCCCCCCCCTCCATCCAGTGGCTAATTCCTAAAGATCGTCTCATAAGTAAGGTTTATCCGGTATTTATCTTAATAAAGAGGTTTTCTCTAATAATGGGTTGTATTTTAAATAGAGGGTATCGCTTTTAGACAGATCCCCCGTTCAGTAGAAATTTCTAAAGCGCGTATGTTAAATAGAAGGTATTGCTTAGACAGAGCTCCCCCACCCAGTGGCCAATTCTTTTAAAGCGCGTCTCTTAAATAGAGGTTTTCTAATATAGGGGGTATCTCTAACGAGCTTCTTGACCATATTTTACCAATCTCGTCTCCTTCTTTCCAGATTATACGTATGGTAGGATGCACAAATATGATTATTTGAAGGCTCCTTCCTCAAAACAGTTGCTTCATCAGATTCCTCACATTTTAGTCTGCAATAAACCAAAGTTTTGTTTTGACTATTTAATTCGTCAAAACATCCAGGATTTAATTCTGTTATTCTTCCTTCTTCAAAAAGTGAACATCTTGAGATATTTAATCCGTGATTGATACATTCAAGTGATCTTTGACCTTTTGAAAAAATATTTTTAACAGTCAAACCTCATTATAAGGTACTCCTATAAAAGGTATACGTTATAATGAGATTACCTTATAATGAGGTGTATATTATAAGGAGGTTGCCTTATAGCGATAAGTACCTTATAACGAGGTCCCCCCCCCCGATACTAGATAGACCTTATAATGAGATTACGTTATGGTGAGGTTGCCTAATAGCGAGAGGTACCTTATAATGAGGTTTACCTAAATTAAGGTATCAAGTCATTCCTCTATTTAAGAGACCCCTCATTATAAGGTACCCTTTTTTTAGTTCCAACGTTTTATCTTATATTGAAGTCCGACTATCCATAACTGTAAATAACTCACTCCAATAATAAGTCGATTTTCTGTTTAATATAGGCTCCAAATTTATTAATTTAAAAATAAAAAATAATAAAAATAATTTAAACATTTTTAAATAAATATTAAAAAATAATATTATTTTTAGATTATTATCTGTTTATGTAATAAAATCAATTAAAAACAAATCTGGATTTTATTAAAAATAAATCTGGTTTGTTATATAATCTTGTGTAATTATTTATTAATTATTAGCTGAAATAAAATTATTATTTAATTAAAGACTCGAACAAAAATTAAAAAAGGAAGGAGGAAAGTAGGGCGTCTAATGCCCTGAGGGTTTTCAGAGATTTGCCAGTTTCGCTTTCGTCTAAGTTTCGCTTTTTTGGTGTTTCGTCTTTCGCTTTTACAAGTGAAAGACAAAGGGGGAAACACGACAGTTAACTTAAAACGCGAAGGACAAAGACGAAACACCAAAAAAACGAAGGCTGAACGGCGCCTCTGATGGCATTTATACCCCTAGAACATCAGAACCGCTTTTATTAAAATTTATTCATTAATCCAAAGAAATTCTTCTTGTTTTTGTTTATTTGTCTCCCCAATATGTTGTTTTCTTCCTTCTGAATAAATGACCGCTTTCTGGGCCACCCCAAACGCTAAAGAATTTTCTGATTTGGGTTCATCAGGTTTTGCACTAGGTGCATGCCCCTTTTCATTTCCCGAATAAGAAGCGGAGTATGTAGGGGAATTGTCTAAAGACTTCCAAACAGGGGATGATGTTGAAGGGGAGGAAGGAGGTTGTTGTTGTTGTTTATATGCGGATGGAGAAGGTAAAAGAACTCCGGCATTGGCTCCTTCAATTTAACTTTGATTTAATTTTGAAAAATTATTGACCTCCTTGGCAGTGTTGGCATGAACCAGGATATCCAGGCTCTCCTGGAGGTCCTATCAATCAAAAGATAATCAAAGCAACAACAGAAACATACCTGGAGGCCCAGGCAATCCAGCATTCCCTTCAGACCCTCGGTCTCCAACAGAGCCGCGTATTCCTGGAGGACCTTGCATTCCTCCCTTTCCATCGTGACCTCTTCCGCCAGGAGGTCCTCTTGGGCCTTTAATGGACAAACTGTTTTTAAGTCTAACCGGTCTGCGTTACCTGATGGACCAGCCGGACCTGAAGGACCGGGAGGGGCTCCATTCAATACCTAAAATTTTGAAGTTGACTCATTTCTGAGAGAAAACTTACTTTTCCTCTATCGCCATTAGGTCCCTTGTCGCCCATAAAGCCTGGATCACCTCTAGGACCGGGTGGTCCTGGCGGTCCAGGTCGATTGTTGTCTGAAATCATTAAAGCGTCAAAAAATTATGCAAAAGAAAACAGACCACCAGCTCTTCCCGGCTGTCCAGCTTTACCAGGAGGACCACGAGGGCCTATAATAAAGCATTAAATAATTAACACTCATTTTTAACTACCTTTGGTTCCAGGCAGCCCTGGAGGTCCGTTTGAACCTGGAGGGCACTAAAATTTAATCGGATTTATTTAAAGTCATATAATCACAACTTTCTGACAACTGTCCGTGCCAGCTGGGGGTGCCGGCAGATATTTTCCATTCCTCCCTGGATATCCGTCTGATCCTGGCGTAGCGTCCTTTCCAGGGCGTCCATCTCGTCCAGGCTTTCCTCTCTCCCCAGGCGGTCCTTTATATTAAAAAAGGATTTCCTCTTACATTTAAGATGTTTAACCTTGGCTGCAAGAACAACAGGCACCGCGTGATGCTGACAAAATTGCGGCGTAACGCGCATAGGGGTTACTATTGCTGTCAATGTCTCGTTTAACACGGATGGGTTTTATAGCCAGTTGAGACACAATATCTCGAGTTTCAGCTTTGCATAGCTCAACATTGGCTAGCAGGTAAGAAAGTCTTTGTTGATTGTGAATGAAGCTGATTGGAATAAAGACAATAGCAGAAAGAAAACAAGCAAAGGAGAGAACAGTAGCCAAAAATGTGGATTTACGGCAATCAAAATTTAAAGAAAACATTGGAGGTGACCTAAAACAATTTACCTAAAACAATTATTACATACTCTTAAAAATGAGCTGAGAGTTTATCAAAAAATGATTTTTCATCCCACAAAAAGATGATAAAAAAATAATTAAAAGGAAGATGCCCTCTCTAAATGACCTAATTTTCACCCTGATCGTCTGCTCCCAATTTTTAAATTAAACAAGGAAAAAATATTTATCTTAATCACATTAAATTACACAAATATTATATTTATGGATGGGCAAATATGTACATACAATCAATACGTACAAAAAATAAGAGAAAAGATCTTATGACATCGTTCTTTATTTTTTAAGTTGCCAGTCAAAGGGCTCCACAAGAGTACAGTCCCGTCGTTTCGCCACACGCTTGACCATTTCGCGAATCCAATTGTAGTCGATCTTGTCCACATAGTGCAGTCCATTCAAATATAAGATTACATCAGAGAATTCTCTTTCCTGTTAAAAAACAAAGAAGCGATTATTATCGATTTAAAGTCTATCAGAGGCATGCCGAAAGCCAAAAGGCGAAAATTCAGCTAGAGGAAAGACGAAACGGCACGCCCGTTTCCCAACAACTCACCTCAGAGGTAAATAATATTCGTGGCTCAGCAATCGCCTTCCTCTTCATTCGCTCAACTTCGTCCACGTCGGTAACCATGTGCCACGGAAGTCTATTCGCGTTGACCATGTCCACAACCATATAGATCCAACTCTCGCAGTCGTCTTTTCGTCCAAGCTCCTCCATCTTGTGCATTGTCACTGGGGCGAAGCGGACGGTGCCTTTGAACTTTATCTGAAAATTGAACAAGATAACCAATTTACTCATGATTTTATCTTTTTTTTACCTTTCTTCGTGGTGTCAGCATACTCCCCTTAGCGTCAAGAATCTTCCGTGCAATCCCGTAGTCCACAACGAAAACCGTATTGCAGTATTTGCTCCCTTGCATTCCAATCACGAAATTTGCCGGTTTGATGTCGCGGTGAAGAAAGCCAAGATCGTGCATTTCTTTGATCGCGTCAATCGACTGGATGGCACAATAGTAGGCAGTGTTAGGGCTAAAAATGTTAAAGAGATGAATTAAAAAATTAGACCACTTCAGGTAACAAACCTGAAGATCCTCTTTCTGTACGCTCGCTTTATGTCTCCCAGCGACTTGCCCAAAAGCGTCATGACAATGAACATACTACTGCTTGAACTGTGCGGTTCACTATGGTCAATGAGCGTGGGCAAGTGTTGTCTCTCTACCGGCTTTGCCAAGGCAGCGGCCTGCAACACCCGCACCTCCATCTGCAGCTTGTAGTGGTCACGCTTTGGAGCACGCTTCTCAAGTTTTAGAGCAAAAACGCCTCCTTTAGAGCCTCGAACTTTGAATACAGCGCCGTACCCGCCAGAAGCAATGTCGGAAATTACAACGAACTCCTGTGTGGCGCTAAAAAAGAGAAAAGATTAGAACGGATTAGAAAGTTATCAAATGGAAACTGACCCTTGGAACGATTGCACGCTACCATCCGACATTGTTGACGCAGTTTTCATTGTAGACGACATTGGACGATTTATGGTAGAGAAAGTAGAAGAGAAGTAGTTTCGTTGGCTGGTTGCGGGTGGTAAGGAGCCAAGATATTGAGGCTTTTATATGCCGCCAAAAATGGCCGCCATTTTGTCTATTTTTCTTTTCTTTCACTATTTCTTCTTTGTATATTTCAAAATGTAAATTTTCAATAAAAGCCGTTTAAGTGCCAACTTGAGTGTTTCCTACAGTATGAAAATTTAACAAAAGCAAATCTTTTGCTTTATTTATTAATTAATAACATCATTTTTAAAATGTCTTTCAATTAAAGAAGATCCCGAAAATCAAAAAAAAATCCGGCATTTAGGGATCCCGGAAAATCTTGTCGGCCGTCCAACGCCCACCTCTACTTTAGTGACAGACGGACACTTAGGCGCGAGTCACTTATACGCAAGGCAGCCTACTTAACTGTAGCTTAAAATTAAAAAACTTTTCTTCCTCCAAAAACAATTATTAAAAACATTAAATTCATTAATTTAATTCATCAAAAATTTAAAATAAAAATTTATTGATTAAAAAATTTAAAAAAATAATCGGATAAAAATAATAATTTATTTAAAAATTTACTTCTTTCCTTCCTTCATTCTTCCAAATTTATTCTCTCATTTTTGTTGGTTTTTCAAAATCATAAATATTTAATAAAGGAGAAATTAAAATTCTCAAATTTTTAAAAAATATTTTGTAAAAAAATAAAATTAATTTTAAAGAAATTAAAAATATTGGAATAAATAAGATTAAAAATAAAATTAATCCAATTGGGGTTGGGGAAATTTCTAGTGAGGAAAAACTTTTTGGTAAAATGTAGAAACGCATTTTTATTTATTTTTTTGTTTTTTAGAATTTTTTTGATAGCCAAATTGGAAGGAAGAATTTATACTCTGCGCCTAAACGGCCTCAGACTTTAAATTTAACCTTGCGCCTAAGTGGCTTACGGCGTCTAACTGGCCATTTAGTCGTTAAAGCCATTTAGGCGCAAACTTAAAACTTTGTGGCCAGAACCTCTAGATTTTTGATTTAAGTTTTCCTCCGTCTAGAGATCGGAATTTTGAAAAAACCGTGTCCGGGAACCCGGAAATTGGTTCTGAAGGTTGACCGGAGGGGAATTTCCGTTCCCGGTTTCATTGGCCGTTAAATATCGCGCATATGTGGGACGTTTGGGTGCCAAAATTCTCTAGTTAATTTATTTTTTTAAGAAAATGAATTTAAAATTAGAACCTATATTTTCTCAATATTTAAATAATCAAAAAGAATTTCCTTCCTTTATTTTTTATCAATTATTGAATGGACTCAATTTAATTTTAATTGGTACAAATTGTGGAAAATGTTTTAATTTTTTGATTAAAAATTTGGAATTGGTTAATATTTATGGTTTGTTTTTTAGTTTAAAAATTAAAAAAAATATTTTTAAAGAAGATGGCAATAAAAGACATATTTTGGCAATTGGATTGTGGCCTTTGGAGAAAGGTTTAATTTTTAAAATAATTTTTAATTAAGGTGTGCATTTTGGTGTAGTGGGAAAATGCTTGGATTTTTAGTGAAATTGGGGGAGGTTCGAGTCCTGACCGATGAAAATAATTTTTGATCACAATTAAGATGATAATTTTTAATTAAAGTGTCGTTTTTGGTGTAGTGGGAAAATTCCTGAATTTTTACTAAAAAGTGGTGGAGGTTCGAATCCCGCCGCTGGGAATATTTTTTATTTTCACATAGTCAACTAATTAAATAACAAAAACAATAAAAACATGTCAAATAAAATTTTCTTTTATTTTTATTTTAATTTAGAAGCCAGCGAAACAATTGTTTTTATCAATTTTCGAGGATCATCCATTTCTCTTTTCAAAATTAAATTTTCTTCAAATTCTTCAATTATTGGATTATTGCCTTTAAAAGAATTTTCAACTGAACATTATGGATTTTGTAGAGCTTTGGCCGATTTAGATAATAAAAGAGTTTTTGTGCCTGATAAAGAGGTTAATTTTTAATTAGACAATTTAAATTAGAGTCCGGGCCGGGATGAGATCTTCAATAAAAATTTGTCGAAAATCTAATTTTTTTTTATTTCGTTCTAGATTCTCGTACGCCCTCCCAGTTCGGCCCGGTCTCTGCTTAATAATTTAGGTACTTTATGGATATATCACCCCCATATTTTGTGTCTCAGAATTGTTAACATGTAATAATGGTCAGCCTTTCTTCCTTCTCCAATTTTATTCCATTTCAATCTTTTCTCTATTAATGCCTTATTTAGATATGCCACGGGGAAATGGAGTAAAATTGGCGAAGGAAGAAATGCTGTTTGAAATGAGTGGAGTGGTTTTTGAGGACGCTGTTGAATAATGGTTGGACCAGGGTTGTCGATTCGGACTGAACCCAGTAACAGAGAATTTTCGTTTTGGATTTTTGGTTCGATTCCGGGTATTCGAAGATTTCCCATGATTATTTGCAAAAAAGTCAATAGAAACAATGCCTTTAATTATTTTTTTAGGATTTAACTAATATTTTGCGTGTTTACCACAAAAATGGTTTTGAACAAATTCTGCTTCTATCTGAAGAATTTTTGACTAAAAATGTAGCTAAAAATAAACAAAACGATGACATATTTAAAACAATGTTTAAAGGTTTATTGATGGGAATTGAATTAATTGAAGGTTTTTTTTGGAATTAATTTTTGTTTAAAATTTTATTTTTTAAAGACAATTTAATTTTGCTTGTTTTTGAGGACAGCACAATTTGCGTTTTTAATTTAAAAACTAAACAAGTAATTGATGCAGTATGTTAGTTTTTATTTTATTTTTTGTTGCAATAGACGTTCTTTAAGAAAATTTTTAGTAGACTTATTCTCTTTTCTCATTTTTGGGTTTTGAAATTGAGGTTGGGGTTCAGTATCGTCCCCATCAGTTTTTATAACCAAGGTTGGGGTGAAAAAAAGCTGGGAAGGGTTTTTTAAATTTCTAAGCTTCGGGTCGGAAAAGTGAGTGCCTTGAGTGTCCCATTAAAAAATTTTTTCGGCACCCATTAATCCCTGCCGTTTTCGAGACCTACGCAAAGATAAAAGGTTGGTCTCATCATTTGGGCGAGGGTCCTGAACCTTAAAATTGTTAAGAGGCCTACCTTCAACTTCGAAATCCAAAGAGACAAATTTCGGACAAAATAAATACAAACCCAAAGACTTTGAAAAAAATTTTTTTCGGTTCGTGCTCAGTTTCCGTTATAAATTTTTAAATTATAAATAAATTTTTTTCAAAGTTGAAGCATCCAAAACATCATCAATTTATTTGTTGGTGTGTCCTCAACACTAAAAATCAAACTTTAATTTTTATTTCTGTTATTGGACAAATTTATTTAATTTCTTTTTCCTCCGAAGAATTGAGGGTTGAATGTGTTCTACAAAAAATTAAAAAGTTTTTTTTATTTAAAAAAATATTTTTAATCTTTCCTTTTTAGTAATACAAATTGTACAGCATTAGCCATTACAACTAAAAATTTTGAAGAAAATCCAAAAATAGCGGCAGGATTAAATAATGGAGAGATTCAGGTGTGTTTTTTGACGAGTTATCAAAACGACATTTGCGGATAAACTTTTGCGGACTGACCGCAAAAGACCAAGTTCAGTCCGCAACCTCGGTCCAGTCATGTGCGAAAATGTCATGTCCGCAAATGTCGTTTCTCTGACGTGTTCGCAAATGTCGCTCCTCATTTAGATATTTTCTATAATCCCTTCAAATGACCGACTACCAAAATGGTCAAAACAATTGAATATTTGTTTAAACAATATTCACAGTAATTCAATACAGTGCCTTAAATGGATAGTAATTAATGAAGAAAAGGAAGGGAATGATTTTTTGGTATTTTTATGTTCTGGAAGTTTGGATGAAAAAATTGCTTTTTTACAATTATTAAATTTATGAAGATCTTACTTTTTTAACATTTTTTTCTTTATTGGTTTTAAATTTCAGAAACAATTATATTCTTATTTTTTGCTATTTTTGGAAAAATAAATTATTATGAGAACTAAGGGAATCGTATCTTTGAGCTGATTCTTAAATAGAGGGATATTCTAATAGAAGGTATCGTCTGGACAACATCCCCATCCAGTTAGCAATCTACTTTTGAAAAAACGTATATTAAATAGAGGTGCATTTCATCCCCAATATTTGAACCACCTCTATCTAATACACGCTATTTGTTGTTCTTCTCTTTTGAGGGTCTAGTGTATTTTTTAAAATTCAATTAAAAACACGTCAATTAAAATTTTTAAAAATGAAAGAGAATTTATAAACAATTTCGAGATCAAATAAAAAATTTTTTTTTAATTTGCTTCAAATTATTTTAAAAAATACAAATTAATTTCCAAACGAAAGAGTATAAAATATTTTTACAAATATATATTTTTTTAATCAAAAAACTTTTTTCTTTTCCCAAATTCATTTCACCTCAAAATATATTGGCGCTAGAACACAAAAAAGCAACCAAAGATTCAGGCGATCCCGGCTTTGGAGTTCTCTTTCTTTTAAGCCTCGGCATACGGGCACAAATGCTCCGCATCCGAGTAAAGATTTCGGTAGAGCGTTCTTGTGCTGTTCTTTTGTTTAATTGGTCAGAATTATTTTTAATTAAAATTTCATCTCCAGAATTGTCAATTTCTTCTTCTGGCAAATAAATTATTGAGAGTTTTTGTTGTTCTGATTTTGGTGGCGGGAAGCTATTTTCTTGTTCTTCAACAAAATTTAAAGGAGATTCTTTAAAAAACAAATAATAATATTTTTTAATTAAGAATAGTCAGACCTCCGTATAAGATACCCCCAATATAAGGAAACCTCTATATAGGAGACGCTCTTCCATTTAATCATTGGGTGGGTAAAACGACATTTGCAAATACGACAATTGCTAAGCGATACCCTCTATTTAATATGCACCTCATTATAAGAGACTATTTCCAGCCCTGAGGGTGTATCTTATAGAGAGGTTCGACTATAATTAAAAAATATTTCTACCTTTTTTTAAATGACGAATGTTAAAAGCTTCTGATTTGGCCAAAATAATTAAAAAAATAATTTGCAGACATAAATTAAAAAAATATATTTTATTCATCTTTCTTTAAAAATTAATATTTAAGAGGATTTAACTAAAAAAATTAAATAAAAATTAAGTAAAAGTTTTTAAATAGTTTGAAAAATAAAATATTTTGCGTCATAGACATGAAACATTTTTAATATGCTTCTTCTAGGAAATAAAAAATAAATAAAATCCTTCTATAAAAATTAATTAAAATAGAAAAATAAAATTGGAATGGCAGAAAAGAGAAATTATAAAAAAATTGCTTTTGAGCTTTCCACTCATATTTCTCAAAAATATCTCACGCGATAATACAAAAATAAATGATTTTGGCCGGATTTGATTTTTCCTTTTTTAAGAATTTAAAAAAGGATAAAACGATAAAATACATTTTTAACCTTTGTTAAATTAAGAGAGTTAATTATTTGGCGTTAAATTGTCGTTGAGAGTTATATAAAGACTAATTTAGCTATTAAAGGTAAAAATAAAGCTAGCGGAAAATGAAAAAATTAAATGTAGTTAGTTTTTATAATTTATTTTAATTACTATTTTGGGGACGGATTAGAGCTCCATTATCTACCAAAAAAGAATTTTTAAACATTTTTGCAGTCCAGCACCAAATAGATTAATTTTACCTTTTCTGACGTAAATTTGGATTTAAAAAGTAATTTTTACCTAACAAGGAAAATTGGTGTGGATTAAACTAGAGCTGGATAAAATACACTCACTTTAAGATACACCCGTTGAAAGAACCGTATCTTATAATGAGGGGTATCTTACATAGAGGATATGCCTATTATCCCTCCCCCTCTACCCAATAAGGGAATCTCTCCCATCAGTAGCCTACTAGGCTTTTAAAGAGCGTACCTTAAATAGAGGGGTTATCTAGTATTGGGTGTATTTTATAGTGAGGGTATCTTATAATGAGGCGTATCTTAAAAAGAGGAGGGGCATCTCCCCCAATCAGTAGCCAACTAAGTTTTTAAAGAGCGTTACTTAAATAGAAAGGTTATCTAGTATTCGGTGTATCTTATAGCGAGGGTAGCTTATAACGAGGTCGGCTCGACGAGTCATTCATTACCTCATTTAAAATATTGTAAACATTCACTTTTAAATATCAACAAAAAAATTTTTTACTCTTTAAAATAATAATCAACTAAAAAGAAAAAATGAAAAAATGTCACGAGAGCTTGACTTGAAATAATAATTTTAAATAATTACTGCTTCTACCCAACAATTTGTAACCCACGTTACGAAATCTAATTACCTGTTTTTAACTTTAAAAGAAATGAATGACCGTTCACGTCATTACAGAAGACGGAACTCATCTCGAAAAAGTTAAATAAACATCACTAAAATACTCTCTATTTAAGATACACCTCATTATAAGAGACTAAGTACAGCCCCAAGGGTTTATCCTATATGGATGTTTCCAAGGGTG